GTTTCCAGATGGATATGCGGAGCAAATCCATATGGCGGAGTCAGGTAAATTCGTACTAGGGGAAACCAATACAAATTAGTCTCATTTTCCAAAATACTTGTTAAGTATTAACGCAACTTTTAAAAGTCTAAGGAGGAATTCAAACCAATAACTTCAGGAGTGGAAGTCAGTATCTTACAGCTGACGCCTCTGGCAATAGTCACTGCTCAACAGAAAACAATACTACTTAGCACTAATGTTATACCTGTAACCAGTGGCCTGCTCAGATTTGGATCATTTCATTGTTCAGGCATCCCCCAAAGTCGGGTCCTCGAGCTCAGCTGATTCTAATGGTTGAAGTTAATCAGCTATCGATGGAAATCAGCTTTGCTGGAGCAGGGAAACCTCTAAAACCTGCAGGACAGCGGCCCTCCAGGACCCGCTTTGGGGATGCCTGCTATTGTTTAATCTAACCAAAATAGTTTTAACCAACTAGATTGGTTGTTTTTCCAGCCAATCTAGTCTTAGAATCTATCCAAACTCTTTCCAACTGACACAAACTCTTCTACAAACTCCCGAATCTTGACTGAATACTGAGGCTGTTTAAATTCCTGGCGAAGTCCTCGAGTGGTCCGAACCACGGTATCAACGTCATCAGTTTTGGCCCCGCCCCTAGATGAATCACGCGCTTTGGGGAAACGCTCGCTTCAGTATTCAACACACGCCTCAAAGCCTCGGCTTCTCATAACATCACTACAGAAGACCTAATGGTTAGAAGCTCACAGTGGGAAGCGAATTTGTTCTTATCTGTTTTTGTTTATGTTGTTTTTTTTTCCAATAGAAATTCTGACCTCCAGCAAGCCCTCGAGGAGATGAAGCAGCAATACCTGATCACTGTAGAAAAGATCAGAGGTTAGTGTTGAGAGTAAGACAGAATTTTATGCACAGTACCGTATGCAGGTTTTTTAAACTTAAATCCTAAGCAGTCTGCAGTTTGTGACATTAAATGAAACAAAAACAACGGTTTCTTTCTGCTAGGAGACATGCTGCGTTACCTGCAGGAGAGTCGAGGCCGTGCTGCAGAGATGATCCGCATCGAGGTGCAGAGAGAGAGACAGGACACCGCCAGAAAGATGAGGCACTATTATCTGACCTGTCTACAGGAGTTACTGGAGGACGGGGGGAAAACTACGGGGCAAGAGGCTTTAATTGTCCCAAACTTGTTCACATGCTGCATAATTTCTCCTCAGGCTAATTGCATTGATGTTTCTGTCTTCTGCAGTGCTGAGAAGAAAATAATGAGTGCTGCAAGCAAGCTGGCGGCCATGGCTAAGGTGCTGGAAACTCCTGTTAAAAGTAAATCCGGAAAGAATTACGTTTTACAAAGTGAGTTCTGTTTTTTTTAAAACTGCTTTGATTTTTACCCCCAAAACCAAGACGCAATATTAGGGCCAAGCTAGAGATTTGTTTGTAAT